TTTAAATTTTTTTTTTTAAAAAAAAAAAAAAAAAAAAAAAAAACTATGTCTACATATTTCTGTGTGAATATATGTATTTCATACATACTTCTGTAATATACTTTCGTTATTTTATTATTAAATCTTCTATAGATTGAGAAATAATGGATGAATTTAATTTACCATGTTTCGCGACAAACGAAATTTTAAAAATCATAACGATGTAAAGTCACTGATCTTTCATTGTACTTTAAATATTACAAATGCTTCTCTGCAACACTAATAATTCCGATTTATACCTTTTTCCCTATCCACGTCTGCCCAGAGGTCTTATCATTAACCTCTCATTGTTATCAGCACGCACTAGTTCACAATGCATTGTCTGAATAAAATTTGTAATAAGGAACATACAATTTATACAATACAGCACACTGTCACTGTGAATGAGAAAGAACGACACAAAATTACGAATGCTCTCCTCCGATGTTACGAAAATAACGAAAATAAATAAAAATTTTCACAGTTGGTCAAGGAGTGTCACCGCAACATTTTACACGCAGTGATAACCAGATAATCACGTTTCTTTCAAATTTCACAAGTGCACGATCCAAGCTCCGCTACGTTCTCTCCGTGATTCTCCAAAAGATCGGGAACGAACGACAGGAAGAAAAGCAAAAAAGAACGCGCGCGTTTTTACGATCGTGTTACTCGCCTTGTCTTGCTGAAGACTGTGAAGTGTTCCGGATTCCTCCTGGAGCAGGCGATCCAGTTTGTAGAGCTGCTGCACCTTGGCCTACGACACAGAACCAACGTGGTGAGTTAACCTTGAAGTGTTGCTTACCAGCAATGCAGCCAGGGAGTCGCGTTTCAACCGGAATCGCGATTCCACTAGAACGAGTGATGGTCGTCGTGTCGTAATTGCGGATCGGTGAAAAGAATTCAAAAAAAAAAAAAAAAAAAAGGGAGAAAAAAGGAGAGATACACGCGCCTGCATACCACGCGCAACCACGGTTTTTAATATAATGTTCCATCGGACCGGTTCGACGCGTTTTATTGCACGTGTAGCCAACTGCACAAAGGATTTCAATTATAAATCGCAGTTTTGGACGTATATTAAAATACAGCGATGGAATTTCAGGCACTTCGAATCTACATATTCTAAAATTCGAAGCTTAACGCGCCGGGACTGCCGAAGTGGTCGAAATAATTTTACACATTTTTAAAAGAGATTTAAATGAATGATTTCTTTCATAAAACGTACAAATAAACTGCGCTTACGTGCACGCGTAAACATACGTAAACAGTAATGCACCGATATATTGAATATATAAAAAAAAACTGTACGAGTTGACATCCAGATTCGCTCGTCACGCGTGCACACGCGAAATACAGGTATCTCTAGTTTTAACTGTATTCGACGGCCGGCTTCGTAATTTTCCCGCGCGTTTTTCCAACCCACGCCACGTCTCCCAGCCACGCCTCGATTTTCACGTTAGCATTATGCACCGTTATGGGACTCTGCGGCGTGTAATTCGTATTTATCGCGACGTTTCCTCTCGTAACGCAATTTCAGTAAAGTGCACGCGCGCGTCCGACCGCGCCACGGCTCGGAAAGCAAGTATTTATTACAGCGGGCGTGTACAAAGGGGGAAATAATTCTTGATATATTTCTAACGAAATCTCCGGTTTCTGTCGATGTTCCGTTCCTCTCTTTTTCCCGCGCGCTGCTAAACTCGACCGCTTTTCTTTCACGCTGTTTCGCGCAGGCAGCGAGTTTTCCCAGAAAACGCGGCTCAGAGTTCCTCTCGCGGTATTTGTTACGATCACCAGGACGGAAGCCAGGCCAAGCAACTCGATGTCGAGTGAGCGTCTGCCCCTTCTCAGCGAGTATAAAAAGGATTGCGATTGGATAGGTGGTATTGACCCAAAGTGTCCGGGCATTTTTCCGCGCGAAGATTCTCCCGATGTTTTATGGAATTCGTATTTCCAACTTTAGATCGTTACTTTCGACGTTTCTCAGACGCACGAAATATACCAATGCCAATAAATGAGACGATAGAACCGCGTTCGCGCGAGTTTCCATTTATCCAGAGTCAAACATCAGTCAGCACTCGATTGAATGGAACTCTTTGATCCATTTACTCGAACCTATATAAATTCTTCGATTTATTTATGTTATGCTTAAAGGTTCACATATCAGAGATTTTTTTATCTTTAATTCGTTTCTTCAATTGTGTGTACACAGAATACCTGATGGTAATGTTAATTACCCAGCGAATAAATGAATAAACGCGGCGTTTAAATAACACACGGGAATCAATACCTGTAATTGTCCATGGTCAGGACTTAATCGATCCCAGTCCCTGCGCTCCTCGGCGAGCAAACGTTGCTCCTGCACCTTCTGATTGAATTCCAAACGATGATCCCTGGAATTGTCGTGTGCCAGGTCGTGTCGGGAACCCGAGACACTGTTGGTCCCATTGGCAGTGTTGCGATTGTACAGGGAGCCCAACTTCACCATATTGTCCACGAGGTTCACCAGCGGCTTGCCCTTCTCGTACTTCAACAAAGTAACACGACAAAGTGATACCCGGTCCCGTGGAATTCGCGGTGGTGGTCTCGATCCCGTCTTGCTTCGAAGTTTCTCAATTAGCCAGGCCACGCTTGAAAAACTCGATCCCCGGGAAACTCGGAACGGAATAATTAAGCGAGCCGAATGTCCAAGTGAATTTCGTTTCGTTGATTTATCGCGCAACTTCGACGGTATTGATCTTTTTTTTTTTTTTTCTTTTTTTTGGCGTGTTTCAGGTGAAACGTAGAGTGTTACAACTCAAGATTTAAGTTCAGAATCGATAAAAGTGACGTTCTTTTGAAAGTTTCACGTGTATTAAAATATACAGTATAATTGAATGTATAACAATTCGAATATATGAACATTAGAGATGTGCGAGAACCCGAAATATCGGGTCGGGTCCAAGGAAATTTTGATAGTCTCGAATTTATCGGGATTCCCGAAAGAGTTGGGATTTGGGAAAGGATTGGGAACAAGCTTAAATAATTCGTTAAAGCCCACACTTTCAACTTCGAAAATCTAGAACCATCATTTGAGCAATTCCTTCTGTTATATCTTTTGGTTTAACAATCTTTCGCGTATCATTTTGTACATGCGACAAATTTTATATCGATTCAGTTTCTTTTCTAGTACATATACTTATGTTTGGATGGATATGCTTCAAATGGCGTAATAAACTAGTAGTATTTGCATATTTAATTTTCAATTCATGGTGACAATGCGTGCATTTTCCGCCTTTGTATCATCTTTTTCCCGAAAATGTTCCCAAACAGAGCTTCTCTTTACCTTTTTCCTTTATACGATGTCTTCTGCACTACTTCCTGCTACCACAACTTTTCTTTCACTATCACTCGACACTTTTTTTAAAGATTTTCAATCTTTATTAAATTCACACAGATTTTGAAATATACGTCCGAGCTCCTCGAATTTCTCAGCGATACTGTTCTCAACAGCGTACATAATATTTAAGTACGAAGCACGCAGTCACGCGTTCGTTTACATCAGGTCACACGATTCTTAGAATCCGTGTTTCCAATAATTTCACTGGCAGAAGAAATTGCACTGTGTATTTACATATTTTGTAGGCTGTTGTACAGCATTGTAGAGTAGTTCGAGAAACGGTAGCTGGGTTCTAGAAAATTTCGAAAAGTTCTCGCACACCTCTAGTGAATATATTACGAACGTAATTTCTGAAACAATTATGTATATGATATTCTAAATTATTGATGTCTTTTAAGCGCTGAAATACTGTAACAATAAAACATATTAATTCCTAGAAAATATATATTCTTTTAATATCAAAACAGTCTGATTATATTATTCTTTTATTGTTGGTTACTGCAATTTAGGATACCATAATGACGTGCGTAAATTCGAGCATCTCATACATTAATAATCGCACAAAATAAACCTTGAATATGTCACATACACTTGTATCGTATTCGTGAAATAGGAAACTCCAATTCAAAACCGTAATTTCTAGAAAATATCACAAGTGAGTTTTACCTGCTTCTCGAGATCCATCAGGTGCTTCTTCAGTTCCTCGAGTTTCTGAAGGTTCTCCAATCGTCGCGGAGTATCGAGCTCTGCCAATCTAGCCTGCGGGTCACAAAAGATCGCCACTTTAAGTGCCACGTCGGGCAAATTTCCACGATGTCTATATAGTATATCTTTTTGCCTAATGGTGCACGATCGTGCCTCGAGGATAGTGCATCCTAAGTTTCGCTGACACTTAACTGAATCGCGACACTTCCGTCAAAACGAACGAACGATGCCAGAATGGACACCATTTTGTTTCCAAACGCTTCTGTAATTAATAAACTGCAGACTTTTACGCAATTATAGAAAATTTGAAAGTGTAAGATTGCAAAGAATAAATGTGAAAGATTCAAAGTAAAATTTTTCGTCAAGATTATGCTTTTTCAACACGTTGACGTTCATTGGGAGAATTTTTTACATTTTACCAATGGAACGAAATATTTAATTTTTCCACAATATTGTGTGTATGAAATGTAACAATATGTAATTAAATCTGTAATACAAAATAGTTCATATTATTAAATTTTGTTTTATATTATAAAATATTTATAGCAATAGAAATGTTATTGTCGCAGGCAACAGGTTAATTACACTCTCAAAAATATAAATTTGCACAAAAATCTACAGTCTACTAATTAATATTCCAAAGAAACGTTTTCGAACGTTTCCAGTACTTCATCACAAATTTCAATCCAATTTTTCTCGATCCAGAGTCATCAACAATGTGACGTAAACTTAAGAAGAGGTGCAAGTAACATTTATAAAATCAAAAATCAAAAAGAAAAAAAATCGCAAACTGTAAGAAACGATAAAGAAAATCAGTATCTTTCACAGAGCGATACTAAACTAACTCGTGTGATCCATAGACACGATCGAAGGAAACGTTCAGAAGAGAACCTGCGGAACATGTGTTTGCACATACACACACACTTTGCACAACACGTCGACGCATTTACTTTCACCGAGTACCAAACCCACGAAACATCCATACTATGCTACAATGTACGCTAAAGTTGAACGTAAACTAGCCGAAATTACACGACATGGAAATCGGGAACGCATTCCAGTTTCACTGTTCGTCTATCCAAATTTATCTAACTTTGCTAACAAAGAGGTAACAGTGAGGGGGGGGAAAAAAAAAAAAAAAAAAAAAAAAAAAAAAAAAAGAAAGAAGAAGAGACGGGATGACGAGGGGTTGTACGCGATCAAACTTTTAATACGCCTCGAGGGTGTGCGAATCGTGGAAAAGGGAATCGCATGGTCCCTCAGGGACGATATGGGAATGTAATACAGTTTCTGGAGAGCAAACGCGGTTCGCTAACGTTCTCGATGCAAGGTGAATGGCGAATGACAGAGAGGAATGGTTAATAGACTTTCAGAAATCGGAAATATCCACGCGTTACGACATGTGTATACTTTTGCGCAAAATTTTGGAGCATCTTCTGTCTTTTGGAGAAAATGAATCTTCTTTGTAAATTTTTCCTTTTTTTTTTTAGAGAGAAATAAGAATATCACAATATCTATATATATATATGGATTTTAATAGTTAACAAATTCAGACTTTTCAATTTTATTAAAAACCCGGAAGATGTTGAAAATTGTGAGTGATCCTATTATATATTATATCACATTTATGTAATTAATTAGAATTGAAATATATATAAATATGTGTAAAGTATTACATATAAAATATTTATTTAATTGTACAATAAACTCCAATATGCTCCAAATTTTCGAATACAGTTTGTTTCGAAAACGTGCGTTAACACCTCATCTCAGACAGTGAGTTCAAGCCGAATCGCGGATAAAACAAATTAGGTGAATGTATGTAGCTATTACGTAAAATTATACTGGACTTGTTGTAGATTACAGGAATGTGCAATAGGCGTGAATGGTAAATCTATTTCATTAGTGATACTATATGGAAGCAACATATATTGCACTGTAGCCATATGAAGGAACACTGACAATCGTATTTTAAAAAAAAAAAAAAAAAAAAAAAAAAAAACACTAACGATAAAAATGCGAAACTAAAGACTCGGAGATCGTATTCAATGTCGTTCAATACATATCATTGCTATTTTCAGACATCGAGGTTGAGAGATATTAACAAATTAAAAGTACTCACATCTGCAATATTTGTTAATTATACAATAGGAATAAAATTAGAAAATAGAAATGAAACAGAAGTCCTATTTAATTATAATCTAAAAATACTTCAGCAACTGACCTTGAATTACACATCGCCACAAAGTTCGCGACAATTTCGCGATTAATGTATTAGTAATTGTACAGAAAGACGAACATACATATGTAGTCTATTAATGTTTCCCCAGTTACAAAGTGATAGCAAGGATGCAAGATTCGCGGTCGAGAGCCGTGCAGGAAGTGGCCCGGTTGTGCTTATAGTTATAAATAAGTGCTGTTCAGGCCGGCGAGGAGAACGGTCCCGGCTTGGCGAGGATTAAAATTGATTTCGTGTTTATGAAATGTCGCGGATACTTTGGCACGACTCGCAGCCACCGTGTTTCGTCGCCTATGGCGGATTTCCACCTTCCGAGAATAGACGCGATTTAATCGTCTCTCACTCACGTTGCATTCAGCAACGCGACAATTAACCTGAACAGTATGCAGAACAGTAGTCGCTCCGACACGACGCGGACTGATATAATCAAGGGATTTCTTTATTTAGAAATTTACTTACGTCGAAGAACAAGAAAGACAAAAATTTAGTAACACGTACAAATAAATTTCTAAATGAAGAGTCTGTGAAAAATTGTAACTCTATTGTACCAGTGAAAAATTAGAAAGACAGTAAGAGAAAGAATATAAATAGTAAAATATAAATAGTAAAATAATATAAAATAGTATAAATAGTAAAATATAAAAATATAAATAGTAAAACAGTGAGAGAAGCTTTCAACATTGTTATCCATAGATTGAAGAAAGAGGGAGAGAGGATCATGGAAGCGGTTTTCTGTGCTTTAGGTGCGTTCACCCGGTACTTATTAACGAGTATGATCCGACTGCACGTCACTCAAGTACGTCGTTTTGCCGGGTGAACTTTATAAACCGGCCCTCTGTCCGATATAGGAAATAGGCTCAGAGAACCGGCCGGCAGGCATTAACGTTGGTGAATTTGGCGACCGCTTGATCCCCTTTCTCACTCCACTTTATCCCCCCCCCCCCTCCTTACCCCACTTCGCTCTTCCTAACCCCATCCGCCATTAACGATTCTCGATCGAGCCACGTTCGTTAGGTTGTCCAGCAGACCGTCTAGTCACGAGAATGATCAGAATGGTAGGCAGCTTGGAAAAAAGGATATTTAAATCCACTTCCCTGCTGCTGGCCCGGTATCTCGATGACCATTCGCCCGATATACTGCAAACATCGACCACCGTGCAACCAATGCAAAACGCCAATAAAGATTTTTATCGACTTCTAATTTCGACTCGCAAGAACGACTTTTAAGTGCTTCAGAGGGAGGTGTGTTTACAGTGACCAGGTAATAGCAAGTAGCAAGGAAATTAACGGTGAACGGAACAATGCGTTTCGAAGTTTGAAGTGTGTTTCATATGATGATGGTTTCATGCTCGTCGAACGGGTAGTAGCAGTCGTTTGGTTTGAAAATCTTTTGTGGGGAAATTTTGGAACGATTTGGAAATACTGGTATGATATTTTGTGGGTGTAAAACACGTTGGTTTTAGGATTTTAGGTTTGGGTGAAACTTGAGTAATTTGGGTTTGACCCGCTTGCGCTGGGCAACTGATTGCGGACCGTAACGAGTGACCGAACGGCATACAATAATTCGTCGCTTTCTTTTTGAACTCGTCGGTATGACACCCACTTACAGAGAAATAGAAATTATTGCGAAGTATAAATTTATTATTTATCTCCCCTATTTTGTTTTGCTTAAGTACTTACTTAAAACTGAGGAAATATTACAATTTTAGGAGAAAAAGACAGCAGAAATATAACGCACTGAAAGCATTGATTGCAATTCCGAGTCTTATTTCAAGCTTTAGCGCGAAACTGAATTTAATAAAATGTTTCACGTTTCACAGAAGAACCTGTTATCGACGCCATCAAAATCTCGGACCACCCTATCGCGAAAATAAACGACAGAAGAAATGTACGAGAGAGACGAAACTCTCTCAGAGATCGCGTGAATGCGTTCGGAATGGTTCTGTCACCTTTGGCGTGTCGAGATTCCACGACCGCTCGTAAAATTTTTTATCTGCAAGCAGATGACAAGCCCCTCCTGGCATGATTTTACAACACTGTCCAAATAATTTCCTCCCAATTCAATAACTGTTGATTTTATAACCTCTTGCGCTGGTAACTGGTTCACGGACCATAACGAGTGACCAAATCGTACACAACAATTCGCCTTCCTCTTCGAAATTCGTCGGAAATGAATTAAACATTCACTGGATAGAAAATTACTACGAAGCAATAAGTTTATTATTTGTTTTGTCTATATATTTCGATATACTTAAAAAAAAACGGGGGAAATATTGCCATTTTGGGGCAAGTATATTCTCGACGTGCGTGGCATAACACGCGTCTCTACGCCCGATAGTCTCGCGAGAGACTATCAAAATTCGATCGAAAGACAATCCTGGTGGAAGTTTCCCATTAGTAGAATCCGTTTCTCGTGAGAATATTCGATGCACATGCGAAGGATTCCGCGAGTTCTCCTGGTGATCTGGCCTCGATTGTTGCGTTCCGCCACTGGAGAGTGGAGTAGGGATAAAAGGGTGGGGAGGAGTCAAGGATGCACGACCACGCGAACGACTAGGATTCCAAGGAAGACCACTTTGACGCAATCTGCGCCGGGACTCTTCTCCTGGGAGGGAATCAGCCTTTTCTTTTATCCTATTACGCCGTGTGTTAATAACTCTCGGTGATCGATTTTTCAATGGAAATTGTACTTGGTCCGAATGGTGGACCATACGTGTTTATGTCAAATATCGATCTTGATCCTTGGCTAACAAGGTTAGCTAATAATTTGTTGTTCTAAATGCTGATACTAAATTTTTATGTTCGTTACATTGATCGGATAATGTTAACACTAAAACTACCAAGAACTAAAGCGTAGAATTATCATCGGAGATATTAAAATGAGAGAAAATAGAAATACAATAGAGCACACAAACTTTTATTCGTGTATTTTATAAAAAAAAATCATTTGAACCTCTAAAAATACACTGTTTTGCATCTGTAATGTATATGTAATATCTAAAGAAAATTATGAATTAGTCATTTTTACCACTTCGATAGTTCTAGTGCTAAACACTTCAGTCAGTACGAAACAAGAACGCTTGAATGACGAATCTCGACGTAGTTTTCTCTTACATTCTATGTAATTATATATATGTAAATATATATTATACATTTTTTTATAGTAATAATATTATATATAATAGTAATAAATATCATATATTTCTTCATATATATGTGTATATATAAAAAAACATTAGTAATATTGTATATAATAGTAATAAATATCATATATTTCTTCATATATATGTATATATAAAGAAACATTAATATTATATATAATAGTAATAAATTAATTAATATTATATATAATAGTAATAAATATCATATATTTCTTCATATATATGTATATATAAAGAAACATTGTAAAAACAAGAAAATCCTACGAAATAAAAGTAATTAAAATGATTTCGTTTCCAACTCTCGACTATCGACTCGAGAAACGTTAAAGTACTACAGAGACATACAGGGACATCGTCGCTGTTCCAAGCAAAGGACAACGTAACTTTTTTAACCCAGCTTCGTAGCGAGCATGGAAAGCTCATTGTCAGTTTCATAGTGGACACCCGCTAGATGAAATTCCGCGGACACGCGTGGCGCGGCGGGTTGCCTTATCGGTAAACGGTTGCACGAAACATCGAGTAGGCAAAGTCGCACAACACACACACACATAAAGGGGGGGGAGGCAGAAAAAATTGTAGAGTAGGCAAAACCGCAAGTTTTCTGGCAAGAAGGATCGATCGATCGGTCCCTCTCGTCCGGTCGCTCACTTTCTTTCTTCTTTCCCTCTCGCCGCTCCACCCCGGTCCCCGCCGGGGCCAATCTGAATTTTCTGTTCCTCTCGCAACAGCCGCGGAGATCTGTCCCTTTCCTTTTATCCTGCGCCGCTTTATTCCAAGTTCCGCTATCTGCGGAACGTCTCCTCCGATAGATGGAATCGTTTCGTTTCGTTCATTCTAACCGCTGATGCTGAACGAGAAGGCCGGGTGTGTCTAAGAGGGACCGGGGAGAAGAAGACAGTGGGCGACGAGAGAGAAGGAACGAGAGGCAACGAGAGAAGTTGGAAGAAGCCAATCTCAGAAATGAATATGACTGCTGCAAAATTCACGGAACAATCCGCGGGTCGCTGAATGCGGCTTGTTTGTCTGTTTGTTTGCGCGCCTATTTCCGCTCTCATTTATATGCACACACATCGCTGTCCAGCGTTGGCCAATGAACACACGGGCGCGCCTGGCCGCTCCGCGAATACACGACTGGTTCGCGCGTTTGGATCAACGATTTTCATATGTCGGGAATATATCGAACGTGTGGGGAAAAGTGTAATTGATTGGTTCAAGTGGAAGGATTTCGGATTCTACTGCTTGGCAAGTTAAAGACTAAAGTTGAGTTAAAGGCTAAAGCTATCTGAATTGCTTCTTCTGTATCTGTATGCTGTATTTCGGAATGAGGGTGGAGGAATATTTGGTTTCTCCGTTGCAAATTCGTACGTGGTTTCCTTCGTTGTGATGAAAGAAATTATTTAACATAATATAACTTTACTACACAATTACCGGCGTGAGAGGAACATTTTTAGAAATCAATTCGCTACCGCAAGCATCGTATGTAATGGAATGCATAATTGGATTTTCTGACGCCGGCGGATCGTTAAATAAATAAAATCATTCTCGTC